GAGCGATATAGGTGAGTAGTATTTAGTTTCTTGCATTCAGTAATGTTGTCGTGTTCTTTGGTTCTCTCTTCGGGTGTACACGAGCAAGCCTAAAAGTTTGAAGAACTTGGTACGACTAATTACCTCCTTAAATTCCTTATTTGGCTATAGTCAAATGAGGGTGGAGTTTAGTCAAACGACGGTGGAGTTAAGTCCATTGTAATAAGTCTCAACGGTGTTTCATAGATCTTTTATTGGTTTATCACCGGCCGACCATTTGTTTTGGATTACCTTATTGTGTAACGTGTTTGTTGTGAGTGTATTAATAGATTGTCGTCACGCCACCTTGGCTATGTTATTTGTGTTTTATCCTTATATATATTTTACGTAAAAGTTTTAGTTTCAATATTTTTTCCTTATGGAATGTAAGTTACACTACATTGTCCACAACAAACTTGGCACTTCACATTACATTTATCATACTTGGCATGTAAGTTACACTACATTTTTTTTCCAAAACAATTGCCATTCTAAGACACATGTAATATATTCCATGTTAAATCATAGAGAATCTTATGATGAACAATAAAACAATTGTTGTCTTCACAAAGCAAATGCATGCTACAAAAAAGTAGCCTATGCAAAAGATTCTCTATCCCATAGGACTATCAATATGTATTCCGACAATGGAGGAGTAATGTCACATGCATGTGAGGAAAAAGAAAATGCATGCTGAATGTTACAAGGAAGTAAATCACAAATTAAAAAAGGCACATATCTGCATTTGCCTCAAGAAGATAATAATTAAGTTCACCAAAAACACAAAAGACCATCCAAATATCATTTGCCTTAACAAAGGTACCAAATCACCTATCAATACAAACACCACATATGAATGTCTAAACATAAATTCAGCTTCCCAAAAGTCACACCATCAGTACGATATTAATTAAAACACAAAAACAAAGCAGAAGGAATTATGACATCAGTGTTAAACTGAAGTCACTAGTACAGTAGCACACTTCAAAAACAATAGAACATTGCTTTAACATTTAAATGTTTCCAGCTAACTTCATACGAACAAATTCAGCGCGTGCCTGAACTCCGAGACTTAAAAACAAATCCATTTCATCCGGGTTTTTCACCAGTATTTTGGAAACGAGTAGCTGCTCCTGAAGGTTAAGACCTTCAATCCCGCAAACAACAGAGAACACATCCTTACGAGCACGCGAGACGTCGTAATCGTACCCAAGCCGAGTTGCAATTTCCATCAACCTGGCACTTGTGTTTTCAGAGAATGATTTCATAACTTCACACAACGGATCAGTAGTTTCAGATGACTTGCGCTTACGACCAATACTTTTTTTGGTCCCGGCAGATGATTGGAGGTTACTCTCTGACATTGTGTCGTTGAAGTATTCAGGAGTCTCGTAGTTTATGTCATTCATATATTCAGGCTGACTATCTGGACGAGCAGATCCTGACAAGTTCACATTGCTAACCGCATCAAAGATGTCCTCAGCCTGCTGTCCCGTCGCTCGGTCCTTCCCAAATATCTCAATCCAATCATAATAAAATGGCCAACTTTTGCGACGCATCAGACGTGCATTTCCATCAATCTACAAAGCAACAAATCACAGAATATAAGATAAAATAATTAGCAGAACTTAAGAACACAGAGCCAATTTACAATGGGCCTACAACTACATAGTAGATAAGATTATCTAACCTTTACATAATCCTCCCAAGCTTCATCAGTTGTTTCAATCATCATTTCGGTTTCGTTCCATCCAATTCCACTTTTAGACAGCATAGTACATAAACTACCGTAATCTTTTTTCCAAACATGAATTTTGGAGTTTATGTGTGGCATACCACGCAAATCAGTACCTGGTAGTGCTTTAACCAACTCTTGTTCAAGAACATTCAAAAATCCCATCTTAAAACCGTTTTCAGATTTCCATCCACTTGTGACAATCCCTTTCAAAGCTGCAATAAGGATCTCTTCTTCTTGGCGACTCCAACTACGCCTTCCCTTGTCTGGCTTCGAATGTCTAGGTTTTGGATTGATTTTTCCTTGCGTATTCATCTTTGCTAATAAAGAATCCAAATAAATAAATAAAAAGCCTCTAATATGAGTGCGAGTTATGAAATTTCCACATGCACATTTGTTCACAACATACACATCAACATTATCAATAACATTTCAACACTTTAAGCAAAAAAAGAAGTTTCATCGGATATTAATAACCCATTCAAGTTTCAAACATAATTGTACCATATTCTAGTATGAATTACCAACCAATTTATCAAAATGATCCTCCTAAGAATAACTCAAAGTCAAACAATACATCTCCACTCGTTGAACATCGAATTAGCTAAATTGTCTCTCCAATTCGACCACTGATCGGATGGCTCAACTGTATCAATGAAAGACGGGTCTTCATCTTCAGCTTCATTGTTTCCTTCATCTTCTTCAACCAGGCTTTCCATTGGATCCACCGGCAGCTCACGACGAATAAAATTATGAAGAAGGACGCATGACATGATCAATCTATTTTGAGTTTTAATATCATAAAATGTAGGACTACGAAGAATCGCCCATCTTTTCTTTAAAATTCCAAAGGATCTTTCAACTACATTCCTTGCTTTCGAATGACACATGTTGAAAAATTCCAAAGAATTTTGTGGTGTTAGTCTCCCTTCCCCCCAATCTTTCAAATGATACCTAACACTCTTGTATGGGGTCAAAAAACCTTCACCGTTTGTATAACCGCTATCACAAAGGTAGTAGTTACCTACACAAAACATACTTATTTTTATCATTATTGGTATATTAATCTATGGCTATGTTATGACCATTATCTTAACAACATTTTAGCTACTTTATATTACCTCGTGGTATTTTTAACCCGTTGGGTCGACTTACAGCATCTTTTAGCACACGACAATCAGCGGCAGAGCCTTCCCACCCACATAGAACGTAGACAAAATTTAGATTACGGTCCACTACGCCTAGAACATTTACTGCGACTTCACCCTTTCTTGTTCTGTAGCGTGGCTTATCAGTTTCCGTCACTGTCACTCTAATGTAAGTGCCATCTAGAGCACCTAGACACCCCTATGAAACGTGCAACATTATTAATATTTCTCTACGTTTATTAAAACTGGACAAATGTTTATTGATAAAGAATCTCAAAATAAGATATTACAAAATTACCTTGAACCACCTCCATCTGTTGTTATTAAGGCATGAATCATCTACGGGTTCTGGTTTCACTAGAAGCATAGAGTGGAGACGCAAAATCGCACATAAAACCTCATGCACATATATGCTGACAGTATGACTAGACCTTTTAAAATCAAATTTTACAACTTTCATCTTCTTATGGTGAGCTATGATGGATAAAAAGAGTGCCACTTTCTCCGTAAGGGTAACATATTTGGAATCAGACAATCCTCCAGCATCGCGAAGAATGTAGCAAAGCCTTGCAAACGCTCCCTTAGTCATCCTAAGATTCTCCATACAATCTAATTCATTTAGCTCAATCAAACTTTTTAAATGTTCTATTTGCATAGGAATTCTAGTAGCCATCACATATTTGATTCGTTTAGTTAAATATTTAGCCCTATTACATTGTCGTCTCCTTCTCCTTCCTGCTGCAACAACCATACTCATAAAGAACGTACATTCTTTTATGATTTCTTCTAGTAGAAGTAAAACTTCAGCTTTTCTACTACAGATCTCGGACATTGCGTAAACCACCTCAACCCAACCTTTGGTTAAAAAAATAATAATAATAAATAAAAATAAAAACATAAAAGATAGAACAATGATAAGAACAAGTTCTTAATTGATGATTTGTTCACAAATCCACGGATCGAACATGTCATTGCCCAAATATTCAGTTAACATGTTTTTTCTTAAGGAATATCATACAACACATAACAATATATAGGTGTACAAGAAAGAAGAACATGAAGATATTATAGGTATTATATGCAAACGCTTACTAATTAAATATGTGCTTTCTAACCTTCGCTGCTATGGAGAGAATAATTATCTAGTGCGACGAGGAGGAGAGACCTCTAAATCTAGTCAAGAAGCGCACAACAGATTCCTTCAAAGACGACCAGATCCAACAGCGATAACTCGAAAAAAAAATAAAAAAAAAAGAAAACCTAAAACAAAAGAGGGTAAACATTGTTAGAACAAAGGAGACATAAATTACATGGTGGGTATAAGTGGATGGACGACTTCCTACAAGAAGAAGGTAGAATCTTCAATGTCGTACCTGGAGCATGGAACCCTAGCTTACGGGCATCCTCGAAAAAATGTAGGCAAATCTGATGACCTAACCTTTTATATGAGGGTGTTTTGGTCAAATTCCAAAAACTCATTTTTTGTGGGATATGGTATCCCTTGCCCATCGTCGGATGTCTTTTCCCATTTCTTGGGTATAATTGGACCGGGCTGTGCAAATTTCAAG